TTCGACTTAAGGAGGCAAGAACGCACTAGGAGCAAGGCGGAGAATTCTTCTACGAGTTTTTCACTTGCTTCTTCTTATTTCTATTATTGGTTATGAATTTTAGTATTGTAGTTATGCATATTATTATGAATAGCTAATTTGTTATCTAGGGTTTTGATGTAACCTATTGTAGGATAAATTATTGTTATGTTTTTATATAATTGAGCCGTTAGATTTCTCTACTTGTTCAACTACGTGTTTATTGTTGTTGATTGAATGGTCATCAATTGACTGTGCCTATTTAGTATGTATTGCTTGGAAAAAAAGGTACATATTTAGGTAGTTGTTGAACAACATCACTCCTGACGTATGTGAGGAATCAATACGAAGGGTTTAAAGGTGGGATTAGGAATAACGAAACCTTGGTGCGTTCTTAGTGAGCGGTAAACTAGTTCCAACTAGCTTAGTTCGGAAGAATATATCTAGTAAATTGCGGTAGTTGCTCGGAAGAGAATTATGACACTCGAAGTACTCACGATCGGTAGAGAATACTTAGGCGAATTATAGAAGGTAGTGGGAATGATTCCGATAATTGGGGAAGTCATAACTCTAGACCTCCTTAGGCTTGTCTCGAATTTCATCCTTGTTAGTTGATAATTTTACTGCTTTATAATATTTTTTAGTTAATTAGTAGAAATAAAAATCAAATCTTTATAACTAGGAAATTATGCGAACTTGTGTTTCTTTGCAATATTGAACAACTGTAGTTAAGCCTTAGTTCTATGTGGGATTCGACTCCGGACTTGTAAATCGGATTATACTTGCAACGACCGCTTAGTACTTTTTATAAAGCATAGTTGGGCGTGATCAAATTTTGGCGCCATTGCCGGGGAACTAACGGTGTAGATGTAGGTGTACATACTGCTAGGTTTCAAGTTTGAACTTTTATTTTTATTTTTTGTATTTGTTTTTTAATTTTTATTTTGTGTTACTTGTTGATTTTAAAAACATGGCATCTTGAAATATGCTATGATGCCTTGTGGAACAAAATAATGAGAAACAACTGCACATACAAAGGCATGATGCTATGATTCGCAACCTGGAGGCACAAATGAGTCAATTGGTTGAAGCATTTAATGCTCAATAAGCCAATGTTGGGGATAGTAGTCAAGAAGAGCATGAAGTAGATACCAAAATTGAGGTTCTAATGGAGGAGGTCAAAGTAGAACACCAACAATCTAACCAACTAGAATTTAAGGATGCCGATGTTGAAGAAGTAATACTAGAGTCAACCAGGGACGTTGAAGATACAAATTTAGTTAACTCTAACGTGATTGGTGTTGAGGAGGTTAAAAATTTTGTAGTTCATGTATTTGAGCGCGTTGGACCTCATTCCAAATACTTCTCTACTTTATGTTCAGATGGTGAAATGGAAATTGATCTGTATGAGCCAATGCAAGAGTTAAAGGAAGAGGTAGATGGGCCCTATATTCTGAAATTTTCAAGGCCGTCTAGGCAAAATGACACTCCTCGGTTGAAAGCCAAAAAGTTCATAAAGTATCATTTAATTTTTGGCTTGCAACAATTTATATCCCCCCAAGAGCATGATCATAGAGCAGAATCAAAACTTGGGATCAAATTCATAAGTTCGAAGTGGAGGCAGAAAGTGATTCACGTCGTGCCGCGACGTTAAATCAAGCGCTTGTTGGGAGGCAACCTAGCTTTACTGCTTTCTTTTATTTTTTATTTTTTTTAATTGTATTATATTTGTAGTGTCGATTTTTGATTTTTTAGGAGTATGAAAAGCAAAGCGATTGGAAGGATGCAACAACAAACCACATAGTTGGAACTAAGTATGAGGTACCCGCACGAAGGACCATGTATGGGAGAAGTCTGAGTGCCCCATGAGCTGCTAGTGTTTCGGCCTTTGGCCCACCAGGGAGTTTCTTTTACCCTCCTATTAGTTATGATGTGCATTGGGGATAATGCATAATTTTATGTGTGGGGTGAGGAGATTGTTTGGGTGACTTTCTATGCTACTTTAGCTGTGTTAGTTTAATTGAATAATATATTTTTTTTAAAAAGATTGGACATTTCCCGACGATGTATCTATTAGACAATTTCTTGAGAGATTTAAGTACAAAGAAAAAGGACAAAAAGAGTTTCTTTGTAGGTAGTGTAGCAACCCTCCCTTGTTTTTCTTTATGAGCGGGTCCTTTTTCAAGAGTTTTGTTTGAACCGGATGTAGCTATTTTTATTTTAGAGTAGGAGTCATTGTGATATGAATTGAATTGAAGCAATATCTCTTGACTTTGTTATGCCTTGAGAATAGTGAGTATTTTGGTTGTGACGCTTAGGCTCGATTTTTTGACTCGTGTATAGTTACTTTAAATCGTATAATCTTAACTTTGCTTAACTTCTTTGACTAGAGTGTCTTGATGAATCCAATCCTACGTGAGTTATGTGTCACGTGTGTGTGAGGTTTGGGTGTTATTATGTGCATTGCATTTGATGCCTAGAACTTGCCTCGTGTGTTTGCAAAGCGAAATAGTAGTTTTGTTCAGTCTTGGAAGTGATGTAGGCGTTTATTTGTTGAGCCAGATATGTATGTTTTACTCGGCTAATTGCTATGTATCGTAGTTAATCCATTTGAGCCTGTAATCCTGTTTCTTTGGCAACCACATTACAAGCCTTACCCATTTATTTGAATTAACCATCTATTTGAACCTTTTAACCTCTCACGAGCACTTGAATTGTTATGAACTTTGTAAAAGTTAAAGCGTGGTGTGGTTTGTTTGGCTTTTGAGTGGAACTAATAAAATAAGGAGAAATGTGCACTATTTTAAAAAAGTAAGAGCCTCTTGAATTGAAAAAGAAAGAAAAGGAAAAGAATAGTTGTATTGCTGTGAAAAAAATATTCCTTCATAAGTGGTGACTCTTGATGTAATTGTGCTTAAAGAAGTATGGAGTTAATATATATTGACGTGAAGGTGGAGTTATGGTTTGACATAAGTGTGGGATTTTAAATGTTAAAGTGTATGTATTAAAGTGTTTAGGGAGGTGTAGTTACTCTTATATCTAAATGTATCCTACCTGACCCGCAACCTACATTACAACCAATTAAAGTCCTACTTGATCCTAGATTGAATGAGCTCGATTAGTAGAGTAGTACACTATGGGCAAGCCTATGGTGCATCTTTTGTGGCATATGAATGTTATTTCTAAGAGTGAGTGAATTCTTTCTATCTTGAGTTCCTAAGTGTTCTTAAATTTTATTGTGTGGAACTACTTTTGTTGTGTGTGGACACTTGATTCATGAAGAAAAAGGTAATGTCAGTGACCTCTATGTTAGAGTAAGTGGGTGAGTTATAAATAATGCGTGGTACTTGTGAATCAAATTTTGAGGTGAAGATGATACGCTTTTGTGCTTAGTCTATTTTAAATATTCTTGGTGTGATGAGTTAGGAGAGTTGTTTAAAAATATTGTGTATATATAAAGTGTAGTTTGATTGCTCGAGGACGAGCAATGGTTTAAGTGTGGGATGTAATAATGAGTTAGTAGATTAATCGGATTTTATATTAAATTTGTATGAAATTTTCAATTTGTATGTAGTTGTACCTTACATTATTCTTTTCTTAAATAGGGAATTATGGCAAAGCGAGAGAAGAGTTGCGCTAATTATGGCTTAAAATAGGTAACACACAAACCGAAAGGAGTCTTATTTAGATGTAGTGATAATTTGAACTTACTTCATTTCAATTACACCCTTTTCCAAGCAAAGAATCCCCTAATTTAAAGTACTAATGATGGATTGTATATAAATTACAAGAAAAACTTGTTTAGGGCGGGTAATATATAAACTTAGACAATTTTAGTAAATAAGTTTCAAATACTGTATAGGAACGAAAAATTCAAAATCACATTGTATAGCAGCTCTTAAAATAATAGCCGGTAAATGTTTATTTAAATTATATTGTTGTATGTTATATGAAAAAAATATACAAATTTTATTCAATTTTACGACTATCACATATAAATAGTTTCTGTCACGGGCTAAAAAGTGATTTGCACAAAACATTATCCACGTGATCCTGTTTGAATTACATTTGGTTGAAGTTAAAGAAACAAGTATTTGAAGTTGATGTCAAAAAAGAATATTTGATATTAAAATTGTATTTGCACATGAAATTCACTTTGCAAATAAGTTAAAGTTTTGTAAATAACAATCAATATTCCACTTGAAATACTCCTTGCATCAGCTTTCAACTTCAAATTTTCTCTTTTAAGTTGAAGTTGAAAACTAGTAACACAAAAACTAAACTTTCAACTACTATATTTCATTGTTTGCAAATAATGCATTTGTCCAAACTTGTACAAAATGTTCGAAGGAACCTGCTTTTGCAAATTGGCCATTAAAAAGATAGCTCAACTGAAATATGGGCCTAATCTAGCCTCCAACCGTTACTATGTATAATCTATATATTATGTATATGATGAGCATTAATCTAAGTATACCGTCTAAAAAAATTAAGTTGTAAATTCAGTCGGCTATTTGGGTAAAGATCCCTTAGTTAAGAAGAATTAACCTAAGTAGCCGACTATTCATTTGCCTAGACTAATAATAATCATAGAATATATAATATATGTATAATATATTATATATTTTATATGAATAACCGTATATAATAAGCGTTAATCTAAGTGTACCGTCTAAAAAAATAAATTGTAAATTCAGTCGGCTATTTAGGTAAAGATTCCTTAGTTAAAAAGAATTAACCTAAGTAGCCGACTATTCAATCAATTAAACTAATAATAATCATAAAATATACAATATATGTATAATCTCTTTTATATATATATATATATATTATGTGTATAACCGTATATAATAAGTGTTAATCTAAGTATACCGTCTAAAAAAATTAAATTATAAATTCAGTCGGCTATCTGGGTAAAGATCTCTATTGTTAATTGTCTTAGGCCCAAGCCCAGAGTATGAATGATCCATGTTCTAAATACCCCGGCAATCTGAACATCACGCAGCTTCAACCAAACACACCCTTGTCGCTTCTCTCCGGTACTGAAAATGCGGGTGTCCGTACGCCGGCCGATAATCACCTCTCTCTTCTCCTCCCTATCTCTCCGCCCTATCTCCAGCTCCTCCGCCGCCGATCACCTTCCAGAAAACCTAACATCTCAATCGCCGTCCTCCTCCGATGAACTCACAAACCCTACCCCTCGAACCCGAACCCGAACTCCAATGGAAAAACAGTTCGAATCATGGATCAACAATCTCAAACCCGGTTTCACACCAGCTGACGTAAACGAAGCCTTGAGAGCTCAATCCGACCCGGACCTCGCCCTCGATATTTTCCGGTGGACCGGCCAACAGCGGAACTACAAGCACAACCACGTCACATACTTAACAATGATTAACATCGCAGTCTCAAGTAAGCGTTACCGCATCGGAGAAACACTAGTCGAGGAAGTCCTCGCCGGCGCTTGCCCGCCGAGCCTCCCACTGTACAATTCCATGATTAAATTTTGCTGCGGCCGTAAATTCTTATTTAACCGTGCATTTGACATTTACAAGAAAATGACAAAATGTGAAGATGCTAAGCCTTCATTAGAGACTTATAATTTGTTACTGAATGCCCTTCTCAGTAAATTTAATAAGTTACATGTCTGTTACGTGTATTTACATTCTGTTCGATCATTAGCGAAGCAAATGAAGTCCTTTGGTGTAATTCCAGATACATTTGCTTTGAATATGATAATCAAGGCTTACTCTAAGTGTCTTGAGGTTGATGAGGCTATTCGTGTTTATCGTGAAATGGGATTGTATGGATGTGAGCCGGATGCATTTACCTATGGTTATATAGCCAAAGGGTTGTGTGAGAAGGGAAGAGTGAATCAGGGACTTGAATTTTTCAAGGAAATGAGGGATAAAGGATTTGTTCCGAAAGGAAATACTTATATGATATTGGTTTGTAGTCTTGCTTTGGAGCGTCGATTTGAGGATGCTATTGAGGTGGTGTTTGATATGTTGGATAATTCGTTGTCGCCTGATCAGCTTACTTATAAAACTATGTTGGAAGAATTATGTAGAGAAGGGAGAGGAAATTATGCATTTGAAAGTCTTGAAGAATTTAAGAAGAGGGATAGCTTAATGAATGAGAAGACTTACAAGTCTTTGTTGAATGGTTTATATTTTCTTAATCAGGACTAAGTGTCTACTTTGATATGTTTATGTTGTCATTGTTGGTAGTTTGATGCTTCTAAGCATATCTATTGCTCGTCTGATGAACGAAAAGTTATTTACCAGCAATTGGAATTAGAGTGCAACTCGTGCAAGGAGAACGTCGAGACAGTATATGGCAGATTTGGTGTATGTTTCTTAACTTGTATGGGATTCAATAGGTTATGCCACCAGATAACACGAAGCAAGGGCTAAGCAATTGGCAATGTCAGCAGATGAAGAAAGTGAAAAAGAAGACTTGGAGGACCGTTCCTTTGTGCATATTCTGGAATATTTGGCTCGAGAGGAACATGAGGTGTACATTTCACTGTTGAAGAATAGATGCGTCCATAGTTTAAAATTTTGGTGTAATATTGGTTTTTAGAACGATCTTCACATAATGCTGGATTTTCTGAATCCTTAGAGGACTCCTATGTTTTTGTACCTTATTCATACCAGCTTGATACTGAGCTTAAATTTACAATAATGCCTTTACTTATTATCAAAAGAATTAGAGTGCAAATCTAGGTTTTTTGGTTTCTGTTCAGAGGCATCTTTTTTCACCATAGCATATATGAGGTGAAGAAAATTTGCTTAGCCTTATCCACTTTGATTTGCTTGTCTTGATGATGACAAAGCAGAATCCATACCTACTGCCCAAAAAGATTGCTTACTTTTAACGGAAAAAATATCTTAGAATTTTGACATAAACTACTCAAATCTTCATACTTATTGAATAAAGTGTTTTACAACAAGATCCAGGGTGACAAACACATGGTTAACATTTTATTAACTTGAATGAATTCTTACCAATATAAAAAATAATATTACTATGTGAATTAAAGGTTTTATATCGTAAAGTTTGAATTAACTTTGCTACATTGCACTTTTGCAGGTGGGAGGGGGGTAGGGGTGCACTTTTGCAGGTAGGAGGGGGTAGGGGACGGGAAGTGTGAGGTGTGTGATTCCTGCCCTCCCACCCCTATACATTGAAAATCGGAATTCAAAATCCAATAAAACCCTCGATCCAAACTAAGGCTGTCCAATGGGACGGGACGGGACGAAATTAACGGGACGGGACGACATTTAAGCGGGATGGTGGCGGGACTGGACGAAACGGGACGGGACAAACGGGACGAAACGGTCGTCCCATCCCGTCCCGCTAACAAACGGGATGGGACGGGACGGGTTCGTGGGCCTTAAGTGTATTTTGTTTTTAATAAAAAAACCGTCTAGTGTTTTGAAAATTACTATGTTTTTAAAGTTTGCAACGACTAGATTTTTGACTTATTTAATAAACTTAAATGTTACTATGTTATAACGAAAATTAGAAAACTAAGTAAAGAATTTTAAAATATTAAAACAAAAGACTTGTAATGAAATATTCTAGTAAATATTTATAATAGAGTTATAATTTATTTAATATAATTTCAAAGTATTAACTATTAAGTAACTAAGACAATTCATAAAAATAATTCATTGCTTAGAGCCTTTTATTTTATTAATAGAACTTTCAAATTTCAAATACAAATATAATTTTTTGAAGATACCTAATCTACGCAGCCACCTTCTAGGAAGGGTTCTGTTTGAACTAGGCCTCTTAGTAGCCAATTACAAATTATCATACTAATATTTGCAAGCTCCTATATAGCTTCTTTGTAACTTATCAATAATATCTCTCGGACATTCTACTGGAATTGGCAATGTTGATTGATGTTCCATGAGCTCCATGCCGTCATCGCTCCCAGTGGTAAGTATCTCATTGTATTCTTCTTCTTCCCTTTTGGTTAATTTTTCAAAACCAAGATTTCTTCTTTCTGAATTAATCCAATCTCTGAATAATACGAAAATCTCTAGACTGTCCTCCGCTAATGAATGCCGATGATCTGCAATTTGAAATCTTTCCGCGCTAAAAGCACTCTCCGATGCTACTGATGATGCTTGAATAGCCAGGATATCTCGGGCCATAATTGAAAGTGTTGGAAAAGCCTTGCCACACTCCTTCCACCATGACAAAAGTTGTTTCTTGCCTTCTTCGTCTTTAATATTTTCCAATCCTTGATTAAGATAAGAATCAAGTTCATCATAAATAGAGGAATCAAAAACTGTTATATCATCCATATCTTCCCATAAAACTTCTGCTCCAGACTTAGAAGTAGAAGGAGCAGTTTCAGTACCAGTTGTATCCATAGATTTATATTTATCAAACATTGATCTAGCATAAGAATATATGCTAGCTTGGCAGTTTTCAAGAGATGGTTATTCATTTTCTTGAATTTCTAAATTCTTATAAATTTTACGAACAAGTCCCTTTGCACTTCTTAGTTTTAAAGATGGGTTAAGTGGAGTAGAAATTAAATAAACTTCGGGAATAGGGGAAAAAAAATACTTTTTAAAATTTAAAATTATTTCTTTAATGGCCGGTGCATAAGTTGGATTTGTTTTATACTTACCAAATACAACAGAAATTCCACAAATATACCATAATATTTGTGTAACAGTAAGATAATATATACCAGAAAATTGTTTTGTAGCATAATAAAATTTTTCTAAAAATTTAGTAAGCTCTCCGATCTCATCCCAATCAGAATCAACAATTTGATCAACAGGGTAAGCATTATGCATATTAAATACCTTTTGGATAGGCACCCGATAATCATAAGCAACTGTAAGCATTTCATAAGTATAATTTCACCTAGTACAAACATCTTTTGGAACTTTTCTAAATGGAAGGCCAGCACTAGCATATTGTTGAGCAAATTTACGAATTCTACTTTGTTTATGAGCACGAAAAATATAGCCACAAGCATGTTGTATTTTACTGCAAGCATCAGAAAATAAATTAAGACCATCTTTACAACCAAGTTAAAAATATGGCATGCACATCTAACATGAAAAATTGTTGGATTAATTGGACAAAGTCTAGATTTTAAGCTATTTGCCGCGGTTGTGTTAGCAGAAGCATTATCTAAGGTGATAGTTAAAACTTTATTAACGAGTCCATACAAATCAAGTATTTGTAGAACAACAGTTGCAATATATGCTCCAGTGTGTTTTGAATCAACAAATTTATAACCAATAATACGTTTTTGCAAGTTCCAGTGATGATCAACCCAATGACATGTAACAGTTAAATAATCACACCCATTAAGACTACGACCTATATCAGATGTGATAGACACTTTACAATCTAAGTGAAAAAATACACAACGAATATACTGAAGATATTCGTTTGAAATTTAAAAACATCATTTCTAACCGTGGTCTTAGGAAAACCTTGAAAAGCGGTGTTATAAGTTTCTTGTATATAATGCACAAAAGCAGGGTGAGAAGGAAAAGTAAAAGGTAAGCCACAGACAGCCACCATTTTTGCTAAGTTCTCACGATCTCTATCTTTGTTATATTTGCGTAAAACATGACCAGAAGCAGGGTCAAGTTGTTGTTGAATTTGATTAGAACCAGATCCACTAGGAGTGCCAGAACTGATGGTAGGATCTATAATTTTTCCGGCTTCTATGTTAGCTTGTATCCATAAAGATTTGTGAGCACTTCTTAAGTGTCTAGTTAAACCCTCGTCCCACCACTTATTAAGTGTGCAAATTGTTGCTTACATTTTTCACAGATAGCACGATGATTGACTTTATCATGTATAAAAAATTTCAATACAAGTGATGTTTTGGGACGTTCAACCTTAGGCTTACCCCTTACAGGGGGTACAAGGGGTAAAGCTCCAGACTGAGATTGAATCTGAGTTGGAGCTTGTGTTGCGGGACTAGTGGGTGTTTCATCTAATTCTTCTTCCTCATTTTCTTCATCCTCAAAAAAAATATCATTGCCAAATTGTCTTTGTAAAGTTTCATGATCTAATTGTTCTCCGACATGAACATCATAAAATGTGGGGGTTGGGAAAATGAAATTTCATCAACATGAGTCATTTCATCAATATCCTTTCTAACTCTAGGTCTAGGAGAAGGGTTAGGATTAGGATTACTACTACTTTCACCTTTACTATTTTTTTACTACTTTTTAAAAAAATACCAAATACATTTTTAGGTGCCATAATTTAAATACGAAATTAAATTAAAAAAGTTAACACAAATATTAAACACACAAATGAAATATGAAAATATAACACGTAAAGTAAACACAAAAATTAAGCACTAAAATGATACGCAAAAATTATATATTAAAATTAGGAGATGGAACGAGTGCACCGAGATTAAATATTGAAACTTGAAGAAATTGCCCAAATATTGCTCCAAATACTTGACGAATTAATTTGAAGCTTGAAAGTTGCTCCAAAAAATTTGCCCAAATACTTGAAAGTTGAAACTTGAAAGATAGCACTTGATACTTGATAGTTAATAGTTGATACTTGATAGTAACAAAATTGAGAGAATAATATAGAATATAGATATGATATTAGAATGTAAGAGATTTGAGAGAGAAGATTGATTTTTTGTGGGAAAAAATGAAGAAGAATGGGGGGTATTTATAGTAAAAAATAGGGCCAAAGTATAATTTAATAAACTTAGGGGTTATATTAAAAGTTTGGGGGGAGGGAGGGGGAGGGGGTAGGGGTGTTTGGGGGTGTAGGGGCTGTTTGGACCGTTGGCAACGGCTATTTTGCCATTTA